GAATTTTAAATTATTTTTACATATATATATATATATATATATATATATTTTTTTTTTAGCAACTTTGTGACTAGTTGTACTAAATACAGGGAGATGAATGAGCTGGAGCCAGTGGGTGCCTTCACAAAATGTAGAGGAAAGCAGTCAAGAAACCATTAGGCTAGGGTTTTGAGCTCTGTGAAGGGGAAGCAGAGGGCACTCAGGGAGTTTACAGCAGGGATCCTGTTCTGAGTTAGTGAGGCCGAAGCTGAAAGTGAGCTGATCCAGGAGGCCAGAGAAGATTCCCAGCAGAGGGCACACCTGTGTGAACAAACCCCGAGGTGGGACAGACTCACAGAACTGAGACAAGGCCGGTGTGTCTGCTGAAAAAGGTCAAATTTACTCAAAAAAAGAAAAAAAAGAAAAAAAAATCAATTAAGAACAGCTCTCTGGGGAGAGAGTGTAGCGTAGGGGAAGAGGATTAGGAAGGAGGCAGCTCCTCCAAGGCTCGTGGATGGAGTGGGAGGTGGGGGAGGAGCTAGGGAGGGCTGGGCAGTGTCGGGGTGGGGGGCCAGGACACTTTGCATTCTCCCCTCCTCCTCCTCGTGTGACAACTGGGGAGGAGCTGGGGAGGCAGGTACTGGTCTCCCACAGAGGATCAGTGCTCTCCTTTGGTGAAAGACGGCCCCCCCTGGTTGAGGTGGGGTGTCTCCCTTCCCATCTCACACCCTGGAATCCCCTACAGGGAACTCCAGGTCACCAAGTAAATCAGGCCTCTATCTCCCTGAGAGCACCTAGTTTTATGGCCATTCATTCTCAGGTTTGATGCTTGTACTTTAACTTCCCAATCATTTTTGTATTTATTTTTAAATTTCTTCATTTCTATTCACTGCATCTCGAAGTGACTTCCTCTGGGGTGCTTTGTTTAAAATGCAGATTTCTGGGCCCATCTCAGTCCTACTGCATGAGAGTCACTGGAATTGTCCTTGAAATCTGTATTTTTTAAAAATTGAGATATAACTGACATACAAAATTATATTAGTTGCAGGTGTACAATGTAATCAGTGATTCAGTATTTGTATATATTGCAAAATGGCCACCACAATATCTAGTTAACACTTATCACTACACATGGTTACAAGTTTTTTCTTGTGATGAGAACTTTTAAGATATACTCTTAGCAATTTTCAAATACATAATACAGTATTGTTAACTCTAGTCACCATGCTGTACATTACATCCCCAGGACTTATTTATCTTAATACTGGAAGTTTGTACCTTTTGACCGCATTCACCCATTTCACTCATCCCCCACCTCTGGCAACCACCAATCTGTTTTCTAAGAGTTCGTTTTATTTTTTTAAGATTCCACACATAAATGAGATCATATGGTATTTGTCTCTCTCTGTCTGACTTACTTCACTTAGCATAATACCTGTAGATCTATCCATGCTAATGACAGAATTTCCTTAAGGAAAATGTAGTATATTTATATACACACAGGTACACACACACACATATTGGAACATTATTCAGCGAAAAAGTTTCTCTATTTTAACAAGTTCCTCAGGTGATTCTTATGCATGCTAACGGGCCATGTTGGGAGTACGATCGCCTGAGTCAATCATTTTATATATATATATATATATATATATATATATATATTTTTTTTTTTTCCCCTTTTTCTTTTTGCGGGACATGGACCTCTCACTGTTGTGGCCTCTCCCATTGCGGAGCACAGGCTCCGGACGCGCAGGCTCAGCGGCCATGGCTCACGGGCCCAGCTGCTCCGCGGCACGTGGGATCTTCCCAGACCGGGTCAGGAACTCGCATCCCCTGCATCGGCAGGCGGACTCTCAACCACTGCGCCACCAGGGAAGCCCTCATTTTATATTTTGATCCTTTGGTCTTTGAGCACTTTCCTCCAGTGTTGTATCTCAAGTCTCAAGTACTCTTAATCTTTGGGTTCCTCCCACACACACTTAATGCTTTATGCTATTTCTTTTATTCTACTTTCTTTTACATTTCTGATCTCTTTTTTCCAAGACAGTGCAAATGTTAGTTACCATTCATCTTGTGTTTTAGTTGGGCTCTCTTTAAATCAGGTTGTAATTAACATAGAGGCTATCCTTTTTAGGTTGTGAATTTTGACAAAAGCATGTAGTTGTGCAGTCGCCACCATATTCAATATCTAGAACATTTTCCCAAAAGCTACCTTGTGCTCCTTTGTGGTCAGGTCCCACCCCCAGCCCCTGGCAGTCACTAATCTATTTTCTGTCCTTGTGGTTTCACTTTTTCCAGAATGTTATATAAATGGAATCAGTTTAAATGTAGCTTTTTCAATCTGGCTTCTTTCACTAAGCATAAGCATTTGAGATTCACTCATGTTGTTGAATTCATTACTAGTCACTCTCCTTTTCATTGCTGAGTAATATTTATTGCATGGATGTATCAGTTTATCCACTCAAGTTGGCCTCTTTTTAATAGCTTCATGGGCATTCAGGTTCTGGGTTCAACTCTGTGGGCTCTGGGGTTACAAAGACCAAGTTTATATTTCAGCTCAGCCACCCACTGTGTGACCTTGGCCTCAGCTTCCTCGTCTATTAAATGAGGGTAACACCACCTACTCCACAGGCTTATTTTGACATTTTAAATGCGCTAATAAGAAAGTCATTAGAACAGCTTATGGAACATAGCAAGCTCTCAGCAGATGTTCATGTTTTATTCTCTTATGACTAATTTTCTTCTGCTTTAAAACTTTTGACACTTTTTTGTTAATCAGGCAGATTCCTGTTGCATGTTTTCATTTTTTCATATGGTAAACAAAAATAATTTAAAAAAATTAAGAGCTACTCACTGAGAATTTTCCTAGTGGCCGGGTAGTGTTCAGCATGTTACACGCAACATGCTTAACCTCATAACAAATCAATAAATACATACTGCCCCAATTTTTCCTAGATGAGGGGTGGAACTTAATGCTACTTGACTACAAAGTGCTGGGAGGACAGTCCATGCCCTAAGCAAGATGCTTCCAGAGTGCTTTCCTTTTTAGCAGAATCAGGAACCTATATACCTAACAAAAACATTGCATCTGGGGAACCCAACCCAGTGGGGGCAGGCATGTCTCTTCCTTCTAGCTAACAACCCCTTTACACCATCTTCCCCTTTCAATTCTCAGTATGAGTCCATCTGACTCATTATCAGTAATATGCAACATGTACAAAATCAGCTAGACACACAGTGAAACATCGCACACTTCCGTTGGTTCTGGGAGGGTGTAAAAAAAAAAAAAATGTCAACGGGTGGGGATAAAAATAAATGAGATCAATAGTGCCATCTAGTGGGCATTCTTAGCACTATCAAACCTGAGCTGCTGCCCACCCAGCTATTTTTTAAATATTTATTTAGTTATTCGGCTGCACCGGGTCTTAGTTGTGGCACGCGGGATCTTTTAGTCACGGCACGTGGGATCTAGTTCCCTGAGCAGGTTAATTTCCAGCATGAATTTAAAATGGTCCCCTGCATTGGGAGCGTGGAGTCTTAGCCACTGGACCACCAGAGGAGTCTACCACCCAGCTTTCTGAGTCAAACTATTCCCAAACTTTACAGAGATGAACTGTCGGCAACAAAATATCTAACCTAAATAATCTTCCATATTAATACACCAGAATTCTTCCACAATTTAAATCTCTAGTGAAGACAGAACTAAAGCGTTGAGTTAATATGTCAAGAAATATCACACTTTAATGAAGTAATAATGCATCTGGGGACTTCCCTGGTGGTGCAGTGGTTAAGAATACGTCTGCCAATGCAGTGGACATGGGTTCGATTTCTGGCCTGGGAAGATCCCACATGCCACGGAGCAACTAAGCCCGTGCGCCACAGCTAGAGCCTGCACACCACAGCTAGAGCCTGCGCGCCACAACTACTGAAGCCTGTGCGCCACAACTGCTGAGCCCACGCACCCCAACTACTGAAGCCCGTGTGCTCTAGGGCCCGCGTGCCACAACTACAGAGCCCAGGTGCTGCAACTACTGAAGCTCGCACACCTGGAGGCCATGCTCTGCAACAAGAGAAGCCACTGAAATGAGAAGCCTGCGCACCGCAGTGAAGAGTAGCCCCCACTCGCCACAACTAAAGAAAGCCCACGCACAGCAATGAAGACCCAATGCAGCCAAAAAAAATAAACAAATAATGCATCTGAATCTATTGTCTTTACTCTGTACAACCACTGCTCACTGGCCAAAATCTGAAAATAGCTTGCTTTTTATTAACAATTAAGATGAGGGTAAGTGGGAAGTTATAAATACCCACGAGGTAATTTCCAGCATGAATTTAAAATGGCAACTGAGTAATCTTGGACCTCCTAGCAAGATTTCTTGCAAGGATAAAAACAAGAAGTCTTCAATCAAGCTGTCAGAGCCTTCTTCCAATTGATGGAAAAACAGCTCATGGAAGAAATTTAAACTTTGTTCAATGACTACTAAGTACTACTACTGTACTAGATAAGCAACATATCTTCTATCTGAATCTCAACTCTTCCTCTTAGTAGCTAAATGACACTGGGATAACAACTTCTTGACCCCTCTGGACCTGTTTATTCATTTATGGATAATAGCATCTCTTAGTGGTGTGTGGTGAGAGTTGAATGAGATCTTAAATGTAGAGAACAAAGTACCACATTCACTTAAAAAGTAGTTGCTGGTGCTGTCTCTTCCCAGACCCAGGGGTCCCTGGACATCCTCTCCCTCATTTGAGTTGGGGGGTAGACTGTAGTGGTCTCTTAAAGAGAACAGGTTAGGATCACTCACTTTGGGCTCTGCTACCTGTCTGAAAAGAACTGGATTTTAGGAAATGTCTTCTTATGTCCCAACTATTAGCCCTCTATTTTTTTCCCCCTAGATGCAAGAGGAAGATTTACAAGTAAGCTCTGTTAATTTGGGGAGGGCCATCTCTGAGATCTCAGGCCTCTATGACATATAATGAAGTTTCCTCCTCTTGTTTTGACTTCCTGGAACGATGGACATGAAGTGTCTTTTAACTTGCAGGGTTTAGGAGACTGTTGTCAATTTAACAGTCTTTGGATCACTGTGTATTTTGTGGGTTAAGCTGCTTGCCATTCTTCTGAAATGCCAAGTTCATTTGTACACATTGTACATCTCCTACACCTTGTTAATTTTGCCTGGAGTTCTTTTTACATTCCTTTTCATTTGACAAACTCTCACTCAGTTTAAGAACCAACTTACATGTCTCCTGCTGTATGAACAAGTCCTGTGTCTCCATACCTCCCTTTGGCCAGGTCAGTTGCTCTGTCCCCATTGCTCCCATGGCACCTTGTCAGTTTCTCCGAGCTGCACTAGCTATACGCTGTAATACATCCACTTACACACGTCTCTTCCAAATAAAAGTCACCTCCTAAGGGTCAGGGGCCATTCCCAGCTGTGTCCCTCATTCCCTGCTCCACAAACCATTTCTCCTCTCTCTCACTTCTCTGCGATCGTACTCCCAAGTAACATCTTAGCACGTAAGCTATTAACTCAGGCTCTGTTTTTTCAGGAGTCTGGACTAAAACGCATGACCTGTACCTTACAAAGTGCCTAGAATAGGGGAGAAGCTTAAACACTGACTGAGAGTCAGCACCTTCAGACTGACAATTACTTCTGGAGATTAATACCATAGTGCATAATGGCACCAGATACCACTTGTAGGCACTCTGAATTTAGCTTTCTTGCCCTTTAGGATTTGTGGGAATGCAATGAAATTTATTTTCTGGTTAAGTTTATTTGTTAATATAAACCAAAACTGATGGCTCATTGGGCAAGTCTAGGGGAGACCTTACCTATATTTCCAAGAAAGGGACCAAGGCTACTAGATGATTTCATAGCTCCTCCTTGATTACAATAACCTTAAGATGAAAATTTCACTGAAATCAACCCTTTCCCTCTCATTATAACAATTTCCTATAACTGTGCCAAATGTGTTTCATCTATACCACCACCAGTGAGGTCAGAATCTTTATAAGGCTGAACTACGTTGAGTTTTTCTACCAACATTTTGCTCTTAAAAACACCTAATATTCCAAGTTAACTGGCTTGTTAGAAATGCTTTTGCCCTCAGACGTCATTTCAACAATTTTTTTCTACATTAAAACCAGTCAAACATAGGTTCACTACCTTTAGTTATTGGTTTGACAAGGACCGCCAGGAAATAAATAAAATGTGGCCAGTATAGGGAGGCAGTATATTAAGAAGATTATAGAAGACTTTTCCTAGGGCTTTGTTTCCACCATGTTGCAAATGTGAGTTGGAGTTAGGAAGCCAAAACCAGCTTGAATTAAAAAAAAAGAAAGAAAGAAAGAAAACATCTCATCGAGAAGCTCTGAATGTGGCTATTGAGGCTAATACTGTAGATGTGGGTGCAGGGTAGCTACAGGATTATTTGTACAAATTTATGTTGACCTCTCCACTGGGTCTGGGACTTTCTTTTCCTCTTTATGTGGCACATCATAGATTCTTAGGCCATGTTTGAAAGACTAAGAGGATATAGAAGCATCAACTATTATTACCACATTTTTTTTTTCTTTTGGCCACACTGCTCAGCATGCGGATCTTCCCCGACCAGGGATCGAACCCATGCCCCCCTGCAGCGGAAGCACAGAGTCTTTACTACTGGACCACCAGGGAAGTCCCCTTCAATTCTTATTGATGCTTCTGTCTGAGAGGCTTATTTCTCCCAGTTTTATAGTCCCAGAACAACTGACTCAAATTTCCTAGAGAACTTGTACCTGGAATAAATCCATTTACTCATAAGGTCCTTTGATTGCTCAAAAACGGCACAAAATACCACGGGAAGACAGGTGTGATCAAAACTGTTCAAAGGCTCTGCAGATTGGTGGGCCTCACATTTTACCTATGTCCATGTAACTACACTCTTCAAGCACTATCTCCTCTGGTATTGGAGTCTGTTCCATTCATTCATTCATTCATTTATTTATTTTGGCGGTACGCGGGCCTGTCACTGCTGTGGTCTCTCCCATTGCAGAGCACAGGCTCTGGAAACGCAGGCTCAGCAGCCATGGCTCACGGGCCCAGGCGCTCCGCGGCATGTGGGATCTTCCCGGACCGGGTCACGAACCCGTGTCCCCTGCATCGGCAGGCGGAGTCTCAACCACTGCGCTGCCAGGGAAGCCCTCCATTTATTTATTTTTAAAGTAAGCCTGTAACCCTTACTCTCTCATATTTACAGGGACACTAGCTTACTCTATATTTTTCTTAACACCAGATTCCAGCTTTCTCCTCACCCTTGAAACGATGGCTTCAAGAGAATATAAGGCAGATACTTACCTGGGTATAATGGCCACAGACCTTGTCACATTTCTGAGTCTTGAAGTCATAGTACTGAATTTCGTTGTACCAGTCTGTGACGGCTGAAGACACAGAAAAGAGGTACAGAGACCCAGTCCAGAGGTTTTCTCCCAGTGAAGTGAAATTTGGGTGCAGCTTGTGGGGAAGCTTCAGCTGTATGTTGTGTGCAAACTGACAGTTCCTTGCCCATGCTTTTGCAATCTGGGCTAGTACTGGGTCCCAAGTCTGCAGAAATAAATACGAAACACTAGGAGGGTCAAGAATGGAACCTGTTACCCAACGCTGTAACCGCAGTGAGCAAAGTGGGAATTTGCATGGGAGGTGAGGCGCGGTGTCCGGAATGGAGGACCACGAACATGTAGGTCCTCCATATGTGGAGGATCATATTGTGGTCTTCAAGTTTTGACTAGGCTTAGTGGGAGACACGATAATCTAGTTTCGAGGAATTTAGAGTCAAAGTGAGTGACACAGAACAACATTTCACTGAAGCACTATTATGTTGCAAAATAACATATGCTGGTTTCACATATTTTCTGTAATTTCATACCTACAATAGCCCCTATCGTAAGAAGCTCAGAAAGGTTAAAAACCAGGCCAAAGCCACAGACCTAGGATTCAAACCCAAGCCTGGCTGAATCAAAATCCTAGTCTTTCCCCCGGACGCCCTGCGGCCTCCCTGAGACAGTCAGTACTCTGCCGGCAACAAAAAAAGTCAACTTAGAGACAAAAAACGAAACCAAAGAAACCTCACAAAAATTAACAGGGAAAAAAGAGACATAAATTGCACCTGAGGACGTGTGCAAAGGACGTGTCCAAAAAGAGAAGTAAAACATACTTGCTTTATAACAAGAATTGAGTAGGCAGAGCGAAACTGGGTTCGTTTTGATGACAGTTGGTGAATTTAAAGCACACCTTCATCACCGCGAGAGCCCTGGTCAGGATTACCAAGGATTCACCACCAAAATCAATCCACATTAGTTGTTTTTGACTGACTTCTGCCACAAGCCCTCATGTTTTTCTTACCATGTATAGCATATCACTGGCTTTTGGAGTCACTTCTGATCGGAACTTGTTGTGCATTCGAACACAGTCTTTGATGAAATCTTCATTTTCGATATCTGGCAAAGTATTTGCTGGAGAGGAAGAACTGGAGACCACAGAGAGCATCCAGGCTGTCACAGCAAGTGTGACTCGCATGCTCAGACTGTCTGGCGTGGAGACCCGGAGGCTGGAATCCAGAGGCACTGCAGGTCCCGAGGGTCGGTGAGCCAGTTTTACAAAGCACAGTCGACTTCAGCTTTGAGAAAACGGAAAGCAGAACATGAGTTCATCACAAATGTGAAGAAAAGGGTTTCTCCATATATGGTATGCAGCTCGTTTTGTGCCCTTAACCCTGTCTTTTCGGTGGTTCTCAGTGACACAGCACCTATTACAACATGGATTTTCACGAGGCTACATCAGACTTTCTTTTGAGTTGGGGGATGTTTCCAAAGGAAGTTCTGGAATCTCCAGAAATAATAGTCCCAATTTTTACTGAGGTTCTGGTGGTTAAACAAAAACATCTCTTATTTCAATAAAGGTCTTGCCAAATACTTTTTAAAAACATTTTTTTTGGAGTCACATCAGCACACCGTGGTTAGAATATCTGGTTAACATCATCGCTCGACCTAGAATTCATTCACAATGGTGAGTGTGATGGGGTTAAGTCGATTTTGTCCATTCCCCTCCCCCAAATGAAAAAAAGTTACGTGGACTTTTGGAGGCAGCTGGCTACTGCTGCCAATGGATTCCTAATTTTGCAGCCTTTGCTAAACCTCTGTGTGCTCTTCTCCTAGATCACAACACAGAGCCTATTTCCTGGCCCTTCAGAGGCATTAATCTCCTTTGAAGCTTTAATATTAGCTTTGTCCACACTCCAAATTCTTGGCTTACCTAATTTTGACAGACCTGTTCATCTATACTGCCATGAAAATAATGGGACTGCTGCAGGCATTCTAGGACAATCTTCTGCTTCTCAAGATACATCCCTGTAGCGTGTTTCTCATGCCAGTTAGCTCCTGCGGCATTAGGTGTGCCCCATGCTTCTGTGCAGTGGCTGCAGCTGCCGCCTTGATTGACAAAGCCAGTGGGCATGTTAGGCTCCCCTATTCATCTCTATGTTCCCCAGGCGGTGTCAGCTATTCTACAAGTTCAAAGCACACAGCAACTCTCTACACGGTGACAGGCCACTTAAGAGCTGACTTTCTCATCATCTTACATCGTTGTAACCCTTTGAATCCAGCTACTTTACTACCCCTCCCTGATGGAGAGCCCCGTGGTATCACACATGATTGCCTTGCAGCCGTAGAAATGGTCTCAAAGCCACGAGAAGCTCTCTCAGACACCCCTTTAGGGAACCCAGCCTGACTTCTATTTTGTGGTGGCTCCCGTCAATGAAATTTCTTGGGAAACATAACTGGTTATGCTGCAGTTTCCCCTCGTGGGACTCCTGATGCTCATTCTGATGCCACAGGAAAATCAGCCCAAGCTGCTGAGCTCATAGCTCTTACTAGAGCTTGTACCTTGGCAGAAAGGAAAACTGCCGCTATTTACACAGATTCCAGATGTGCTGTTGGAGTCTGCCTTGCTGCTGGCACAATTTGCAGATCCCGTGGCCTCTTAACTTCTGCAGGTAATCTTATTGCTAATGACCATATAGCAGCTGCCTTATTACAAGATATTCACCTCCCTTCTAAATCTGCTGTTGTGCATTGTTCAGCCCATACCAGGGAAATGCTGTATCTTTAGGAAATGATCAGGCTGACAGAGTTGCTGAAATCCAGCTCAAAATGGACACCCTTATTCCTCCTCTACCGAATCTTTAAACTTGCCTTTATTCTTGACGGATTTTATCAACTGTTAAGCAAATGCCCCGCAGTCTAAAAGAGGCAAATGGGTGCAAGAGGGTGCTAAACAATTACCAGATGGATACATCAGGCCAAATGGACTTCCTATAGCACCCTTTCCTTTAACCTCTTGGCTTATATCCCATCAAGTGGGATATATGTGCAGATGGGGGAGAATTAAGGAAATACAAGACAATTGGTTTTGCCCTGGCATCCATAAAATTTCTGACCAAAGTATTTTGCTGTGCACTACTTATAAATCTCCCCAAATTTCTGGGAAATACCTGGGATACCCCAAGAAATCCTCCAAGGCCCACATTCCCCTTTATGGCACTCCAAATGAATTTTATAGATTTCCCCCCACTTTAGGCTACTCTCGTGTTTGGCTGTTGTCTACATGTTTCGTGGATGGACTGAATCCTATTGGACTAGACGTGCCTCAACCACAACAGTGGTAAAGACATTAATAACTGAGGTTATTCCTCACTTTGGCATTCCTTTATGGATTGAATCAGATCAAGGAACTCATTTTACAACATAAAGCACTTTCTTGCAAAAACTCTGGGGTACTCATTACAATTTCAGACCCCATATCATCCTCAATCCTCAGGGAAAGTGGAACGTAAAAATCTAGACATAAAAAAACTTTAGGAAAGATCTGTCAAGAAACTGGACTTAAATGGCCAGAAGCTTTGCCCTTGGCCCTTATAAAGATCCAGAATACTCCAAATAGGAGACATGGACTGACCCCTTTCGAAATGGTCTTTGGATACCCAATGTCCATTGGTATTTCTAAACCTTCCATTCCTGGGTTAAGTGAACAGCCTGATGATATGACTAGCTAGATACAACAACAAATGTACATGAAGAAGGTAAAAGGGGCTTGGCTTCCATCAACTGATAAGCCTCGCCATCCTTTCGACCAGGAGACCAAGTGTACATCAAGGTCTTTAGAAGAAAACATGTGCTGTCACCTCCCTAGGAAGGACCTTATGAGGTACTGCCAACCACCTACACTGTCGTCGAAAGGAAAATCCTCGTGGATCCATGAAAGCCATGCCAACACAGGCCCAGAACATCCCTCTCAAGACAAGTGGGAGACAAATCCCCCAGGTGACTTTTAAAGATTTCCAGGGCCAATTCCCAGGCCCCGGAAGCGGCCAGCATCATCAAGTAGACAGCTTTTCCCAAGATCACAGATCAAGAAGCCTCACTTTCACCTATCTCCCTTTCCCCACTTTTAAGACTCCCTATACACACACATTAAAAAACAAAACACTTTTTCTTATTAACAAATCCTTTCTCTGCATTTATTAATCATTTATTACAAGGCTAGCTGGAGAGCACTTGTCTCTATCTTATTTCTCCTCTAAGTCTCCACTCTGGGCTCGTTTTCAACCTGTGTTTTGTTCTTACTAACACTCCCTTACCCGCTTATGCTATTTTACCAAACCCTGGCCACGCTAACTCGGCCTGACTGTTGATTATGTCAACATCTGGATAGTGCAGAAGAGCCTGAATGAGTCTTGGTTCCTGCCGATG